CAGCCTTCAACAACAAATTTCAAACAGCCTGCTGTGAGCAATCTTCCTGTTATGCACAGTCTGAAGGTCCCTGTTTTGTGTGATGACTATGATAGTTCTGTGCAATAAAGGTAATAGCTATTTAGACTATTTATTTGATGAATATCAGTCAGTTAGACTAATGAAGGTTGAGTGTTGGAAAGCACTGTGAAAAGAGACACTGACAACATCTAAAATGTAAATCCTTGTCACATTTGTACAACTTTCCAGGTTTACAAATATAAATCTGTTCATACAACAACTAATGAGATCAACACACAGCTTGATTACTTTTTTGAAGATTTATAAAGATACATTTGGTCATTAACTTTTAAATGCATCATTATGCAAACACATGAGGAGAGTTCTCGGCATGAAAGACCCATGACTGGCAGATGAATGTGCTACTTCATTTCTCTCCAATACGGTAGGAAATTAAATGAAACAAAGTGTGGATGATGTTAACTGTGACAAGATGATTGACAAGGCAGTTTAAAGTTAAAAGGATGCACATAACTAAGCAACAGAGCGGTCCATCAAAGACAAAGTAGCATGTCCCAAAGCTTGCCTACTTGCCTCTGCAACACACTCAAAGCTATGTCCTTCTTCTTCACAAAATACTTTTAGGGCATGATAAAAATCTTACAAACCCCACATTTTTCAATGATAGTGTATTTTAGAGATGTTTATCAGGTACTAGAAAAATCACATGCGTAGCATTAACAGCAGCTTAAATCATTACTTTCTTTAGCCTTTCCCTTTATTTACTAAACAAGCTAAATTCAACCTTCTTGTCTTCATACTTGGCCTTATGTCACTATAGCACTCTTGAAATATCTGCTGTCCCAGCCCCAATGCACATCTTTAGCTCTGGTACATCTTCAAATGCAATGAGAGGATTAGGGTGGGCGCTCAGAGATGCAGAAAGGCTTTTCTACAACCCTGAACTCAGCAGTACTGCAAAGCTACTCACCCTGATCTAGAGACCAGCGTCACATTCACAAGACATTAACCCTAGGACTAATTAAATTCTATATTAATTAAATGTGCAACACATAAGGCTGATGACAAAATTTTGAGAGGAAACAGTTTTCCATTTTGTCCGTATTCTGCTGATTTACAGATGACCTACACTAAATCCATTATTATTATTATTATATTTAATGACCTTCTAGGAAGAGAGCCTTCTGCTCCAAACCAAAGTAAGTAAATAAGTGTGCAAAATGAGGAAGAATTAGTATTGTCTCAAGCTGAAACTATAAAAAGAAGCAATAAAAACCAATCCACTTTTTGTTTAAATTCTGATTTAGAAGATTCCCAACTGTAGATTTTATTTTTAATTTCTAACTATTCATTGTCAGCAACAACCTCAGTAAAGATCCGTTCACACCAAGAATGATAACTTTAAAGATAACTATAGAAGTAACTATATTAGTGTCCACACAAACAGATGATAACGTTCTGTTTATAAAAAGTATGTGCTGAAGTACAAGCCATAAAGTGTTAAAACTCCTCAAAGCATGTGGGCAATGTCCATTGCAAATTTTACACCTCCGCCTGAATGAATGAACAGAATAATTGCAGACATATTCAACTCTACCTAAAGCTAAAAAGACACAAGAATGAGTGGCCTTGTGGGCCAGAAAAAATTAAAAAATTAAAAAATGAATGAGTGTTTCCTACGCAGATGAACCCTAGATCCCACACTGTCTAGCGGAGGAGAGGAGGTTGAGCAGAGAAGGTTGCACTGCTGGGGTGGAGGCAGAGATCGTCATTACATCACCTTAGTAGTCCAAGCCACTAAAAACAGCTGAGATGGGGGACTGAAACACACATAAACACCCAGCGTCACACAGCGTGTGTGTGGGATGATATTCTCTCAGCCATAACCTACTGAGTGCATCCCGCAAACTATTACGTAACATTAACTACCCAGAAGAGAGTGGAGGAAGTCACAGAGAGAGAAAGAGAGAGCCAGATGCAGATATATTGTTGCATGCATTTGAAGTAGAGGGAGGGGGTGGAGGGCGTTGGATGTGCGTGTACACTTCACTGACTTAAAATAGAAGGAACTCACACGAAATATTTACAGCCAGAGTGAAAAAAAAAAACTGACAACGGCATTGTTGGAGGAAAGACTTCCTGTGATGAAGCACAGCATAATGACTCTCAGCGTGTACAATATAATTGACTCTTGTGAGGGAGGATATTCCCTCAAAAAGATCTTGCTCTCTCTGTGACTGTCTTTCTCCTGATGATACGATGACAAGTTTATGACTTTCTGAATCTGCATTTTTATGCAGACATCTAAATCTGAATTTCCTTACTCATTGCCATGGCAGTCCTGTGGGTGATACATGTTCCAATTTGGCTTGCGACATTCCCTGATCCTTTACTATCCTGCCTTCCCCATAATTTAAATAAAACACTGATATTTTATGGAAAAAATAAATAAATAATACATACAAATAATAAATGTGCTTCAAAAGTGTAAAAGTGTTTTTAATTATCATTAAATCATCTGTATGGACAAAAAGTTAATATAGACAATCAAAACAAACAATCAAACAATAGGGGTTGCATACAAATTGGGCCAACTTTAAGTCTTGTCATCAGTCAGCAGCTACAGGCAAAAGAGAAAAAAATGAATGCTTTCTGCTGACCAAAGAGATGTATCTGTTCTTTTCATCTAATGTTCTCACTTGTATTTCACCTTTTCTACCAGATTGAGGGGTTCACCCTATGAGTCCTGAGCTGTGCTTCCCAGGGTGCCACAGATGAGCCAGATCTCTGTCAACAGCATCATTACACTGCTAAATTACTACAAACCAGGATGATGCTCTTTTAACCACAAAGCTAAATGAGTATGGTTGTTTTCTTGAGCAGTTGGCCTCTTACAGTCTGTATGCAGTCTGTATGTATCTCGAGCAGTAAAAATGACTTCGTTTAATAGAAATAACAGCTATTTTCAACATTAAGGCTGACACAGGAACCAGGCAGGGGACAGTATAGACTAAAGTGAAAGGACCTGAGAAAAATAGAAAAGCAAAGACATCATTATATTATTTTTTTTTAATAATTTGGAGTTTGAATTAGCATTCATTACAATTCATTACAACTTTGTGTATAACTCAAGGCCATTGTCATTGTCTATTATTGGGACTGAGAGACAGGACCCAAATGTTGTCCTGGTCCCTGTGAATGACAGCCCTGGTATGATGCACTTGCTATCACTACATTATGTATTGGGCTACACTGGCAAAATGCTCTCTAGATCTCTGTGTACCTTAAAACTTCAGTAAATGTCTATTTCTAAGAAAAACTTGACCTAGCCGCAGAAAATACTTCTCTTTCATAAGACATGAACGATGATTCACAAAGTCCAACAGAAGAAAAAAGCTTAAAATAATTCCTGTGGGTGACTGAGGAATTGAAAGCAAAGATCTGAGTAAGCAAATCAGCTGGGACTGGATGCAATTGCATCATCAAAGCACTGACTGCATCTAAACTTTTCAAATGAGGAATGCTTTCTGTGAATCAGGTAAGTTCACTCTTAATATCTACAGCTGGCCACCACTGAGAGTTACTGAACAATATAACAATATTCTAGAACAATGAGAATGGCCTCCAATCTGCTCTTGAGGTACACTATAAATAGGGCTGGGCAAAAAATCGAATGCGATTTTCATGCGAATCTCGTCAGTAAAGCCGCTTCTGGTGATTAGTAGTTAATCTCCAGCACGTGCTTTCAGATGGAGCGGCATTTACTACACAGAGCCGTAGATCACTGACAAGCTACACAAAATCGCGTTCAAAATCGCAGGTGATTATTCATTGCCGATTTTGAGTAGCTTGTCAGTGAACTACGGCTCTGTGTAGTAAATGCCGCTCAAAAGTTCAAAAGAACAGAATTCACAGTATTTAAATGATATTTTTTGTAACAGTCTAAAAGCCTTTTTTTGACCAATGTCAATGTTGAATAATATTATTTAATGTTGAATAATAGTATCTTTTAAACATAAATATTTAATTGCCATGGTATTACAATCACTGTACCACCTTTTTCCAAGGGTATGGAAAAACTATTTAAGATGCCTAACACTAATCTGTCATTTTTAGGGGTTTTATAAAGACAAAATACACCTGACCGTTCAAAAATTACAGTGCTTGCCATTCAGCTGTAGTAGGACCACATTTGGAATTCACCACACAGAGCCAAGCTGCCCGCATTACCATCACAATGGCACTTCTAGTATTGATTCAACAAAGCACGTAAATACAAACATTAATATTTCAGTTCACAGGATGGTGAATTGCAGCTGCATCACTGATTGTGAATGAGAGAGATAGCTGTCTACATATTAGGCACAAGTCCTCCCTCTCTGACAAGCCTAAAGAGAAGATTAAACTGAAAAAAGATCAATTCACTCATATTGTATAAGCATGTAAACAGAGCAGCTCTGCTTCAGTGAAATAAACCCCATTAGCCCAAGTACTGCTGGCAGACTGGCACTCTCAATCCTCTAATGCCACTCGAAGGGATTCCCATCCGGATACCTTCACCAATGAAGGCAGGAAAATACGATAAAGCCTTGGACTGTTTGTTGATGGACTGACCATCAATAATGTATTCCACCAGCACTGTGTCTGGCTCCAGCGGAGAAGCCTCGGAGAGGCTCGTTATCTGTTATACACGGTGATCCGCCAAGTTTCCGACAAGTTTACGCCTTGATGGCTCCACAGAGCCAGCAACATGGGATTAAGCCTGATACAATACAACACTCTAGCGCAACACTTAAACCAATGAACACACTGTTCCACAAAGACATTAAAATGTCAATTTTAAAAGAAACACCAAAGAAATACGAAACAAATAACACCCTTGGTTTCTCCACAGCCGACACATACTCACAGCTGGAACGACAAAAAAGCTTCTTCCCTTTCATATTCATTCAATTCTCATCGCTTCCAGCTCTCCTTACCTTAGTTGTGACAATACACAGACAATCCATCCTGAGCCAAACAGCTCAAGCTAGTTTCCCCTTCATTAGCACCACATTAACAAATAGAGAGAGGGGAAAGAGGAGAGAGAGATTGAAAGAGAGAGGAACGAAGGCACGGCTGGAGCTAACGCTGACAGAGGCGGGAGTCCTCTCTCTGCGCAGGCATGGTCTTGTGTAGTCCTACAGCCCGGCGCTTGTTAGCGCTATCTGCTGCTCAGCCGCATGGCTGGGGCTCAGACTGCTGCCGCTGAGATCACAGAGCATCCCTCCTCCTCTGGAGCTCACCGCACACGAGCACACCCATGCGCGAGAGAACAGACGCGCTCTCCTCTCGCAGATGCTGAAGATTTACCTTTCTAGCTTGGAGAATCTGCACTACGATTGGGAAAATAACTATTGTAGTCACTGTTTGTGGTGTGAGTGTTTTGATTTTATCTGAGGCAGAGCTAAGCTGATTCCAAGCCAGCTGTGCAGATAAATGAAGTGAATGGACAGAATGGGCAGTTTGGAGGGTTTAAGAGAGGGGAGTGAGTAAGCAGTTCATTCTGACCTTGACAACAATCAGGGTTTATTTTGGGGCGCCTTGGAAATCCACCGAACCATTGACAAGCTCAAATAACCTGCCTTTTAAGTGAACAGGGCTAGCGAGCAGGCACAAGACAAAGAGACAGCAGTCACAGAAAGGAAACTGCAGCAATGCTTCAGCAGAGATTGGCACATCAGGCCTGATGCATCACACAACATCTGTTCTTTATATCAAGACCTTCCAGTACTTAAAATGAATAAACAGACAGGAGGGGAGAGCTGCTTACTGCAGTCATAAAATAACAAACATGAACCAACATGAACTGTGTGACCAAAAATGTGACCATAGCAGGGGCGATTTCAATCATGGAAATGTTATCATTATTTACGCAACCTCGTGTTGTTCCAATCCTGTATGTTGTAATTTTTTCTTTTCAACACAGCAGAAGTATTTTGGAAGAATCGCCGCACAGTAAATAAAATCTAATTGTGATTTTTCTATGTATAAAGTAAAATATAAATTAATTAAAATATATAACATTTTATTTTCTTTTTTTTAAATAGCTTGTTTGCTGTGTTTGTTTGTGGCACTAAATAATAATAATAATAATAATAATAATAATAATAATACTGCTAAATGGAAAAATCAACTCCAGAGTCATGAATAAATCATTTAGTTCACCCCTTTGAAAAATGAGATGATACACCTCTTGGGGTTTATCCTAATAAAATTCAATCAATCAATCAATCAAATGAAATTAAATTAAAACTGCTTCTTGGAAAAGGAAACTTGGAAAAAGTTCAATCTAACTCACTGACTTAATGATCCAGTCACATTGAAACAAAGAATCACAATCACTATGAACTGCTGTTGCATGAAAAATAGCAGTGTAAAAAAATCTCCATGTTCAAGGGGGAAAAAAGAGCATACAGCATATATGTACAAATACAAAAAAAAAAAAAAAGTTTGCTGGCTTTCCAACTGATGACCACTGGATTGTCTGGCACAGAGTGGTATTGTTATTAACAGTTGTATTACTACCGAAAATTATCGACCGAAAATTACCAGTTTTTGGCCGAAAGAGAAAACGGGCGAAAATGTGTGCTGAAAATATATGCCGCGCCACACCGCCCTGCAGTGTTTAGCGCACAGGTTTCACTCTCCCTCTAGCGGTCGTCACTGCGCAGTGTGACGCTCCACTCAATATTCCGCTCTATGAATGTGCGTTCCGTTGAGCTGCTCACAGCCCATGCGAACGCTCCACTCGTGTAATTAGTTAGCGCTCATACTCACCGGAAAAGCAGAGTCCGCTCAAATAATGCGCCGACAGGAAATTTCTATGTAGTACTTGTTCCTGTTTATAGTAGCGCTATTGTGCTGTATATGGTGTAGTACAGCTGTACTGGGCAACGCTGGTAAAATGACTCTCGTTCACCGCTATGTTCTGCTCAAAGGCTTTGATAATAATAGCTTTGTAGGACTATTCATTATTTGGATAATTAGTCAAAAAAAATGATATCTGATTCTGTAGCATAAAACTGAATAAAAATTATATATTGATATTTAATAATATAATTCAGTGTCATTGAAATTGAGTTAAATTAAAAAGTCTTATAAAATTACTAATAATATTTAATATTTAATCAAATAATTATTACAAAGCATTTTCCGTTTCGGTTTTGGTTTTCGGCCAAGTGCATCCAGAATTTTCAGTTTCGGTTTCAGCCCAGAATTTTCATTTTGGTGCATCCCTACCTGCTATCTTTCTTATCTTGCTCTTCTTCTTGTCAGTCTTACCTGCTGTCTGTACACTGCCCTCTCCTCAAGTTTCAGCTCCTCGCAAAACAGCCCCCTGATCATGGCTTTCATTCTGCATCTAGCATCTCAATAGCTGCTGCACACACTTTGTCTACGCCTCACTTCTCAAATACACACACACACACACACTAAGCCCTTCAGCAGATGGGCCTCAAAGCCGCTTTGAATGATCACATTATAGGCCGAGTGCTTTAACTTCCTCTCCACAACACTTTCTCACAGACATGGGGAATAATTAAGAAACGAGGTCGGCAGGACATTGAGACAGAAGCTTTTATGCTCAAACGTGAACTTGGCAAGGGAGTCTTTGTTTTAGTGCCAAGTTCTGTTTTGTGTTCTCCTTACATGAACTCTCAGCAAACTATTACCAAACTGTCCACTATGCTAACAATGCTAATCCCCTCCTTCCAGAAGAGTGGCCCCTCACATTCTCAAAAGTTTACAAAAATTACTAAAGGACTGGAATAGGACTCTAAAAAATAGAAACAAAGTTGTCAATCTATTCCAGACAAAAAAAAAAAAAAGCTAGAACTTAATTGAAAAATTAACAAAATAGCCTATAGCTGCTGAGGGCTCAAGTTTTCATTTGCAAATTACTTTTGTGTCTAACTGTTTGCAGCAAATGCACCCCATATCAAAAATAATTCTCTTAATCAGTATTTTTGTTGTGTTTTTCAGTATAAATACACTACCACTCAAAAGTTTTTTTTTTTTTAAGAAAATAATATTTTTATTCAACAAGGACATTAATTTGATTAAATAAAATAAAAAATATAAATATAAATAAAAAAATATATAAAGCAGAACAACTTTTTAAATATTGATAATAATAAAAAAATGTTTCTTGAACGCCAAATCAGCAAACTACAATGATTTCTGAAGGATCATGTGACACTGAAGACTGGAGTAATGGCTGCTGAAAATTCAGCTTTGCCATCACAGGAATAAATTTCATTTTAAAAATATATTAAAATAGAAAACAGTTATTTCAAATTATAATAATATTGGCCAATATTTATTTTTTACTATATTTTTTTAATCGTATACATGCAGCCAAGGTAAGCATAAGAGAATCTTATCAAAAAAGTTTTTAAAAATTCCAAAAGAGCCCAAAGTGTTAAACGGTAATGTATAGTTCATGTCATTTTTATTATTATTGTTTTTCTTTGGGCATAATCCTCATTACATTTTGTTAGATGTATGTGTACAAGACAACAAAATTATAAAACAATGGGGCAAGAAAAAAAATTTACGATATGTTATACAATTATGATGTTATATGATTTTGTTTTACAAGTGAATTGATTTTGTTTAATAGATGTTTAAATATTTTTACTGGAAAAACAAAACAACTATACTGATTAAGAAATTATTTTGGTGGCACACATTTTAGTATAAATACAACTCAGCTGAGTCTGAAAAGCTAAAGTTATATTATATTCTATAAATTACTGTTTATTTTTCTTTGTAACAACTTTAGGACTAAGAGTTTAAGCTCATAATTCAGGCCCTCTTTACCCTCATATCACCCATCCCCAGGTCAGCAGGACTGACCTGCAATCCATGCTATGTGTTTTTTTGTTTTTTTAATGAAGACAAGGATACACACAAAGAAAACCTCTTGGGTACGCAAGATTAAGACTTTTTAGCCTTTTATTTTGGCCAGAGGCTTTGTGTCCACAACTCCATCTCTATTTCAGCGTAAGCTCATTTTCTATGGATGACTCTGATTTAGCAGGACACACCATTGCAATCTGATTCAACAACAAAGCTATGTGTATTGTGTGTGTATGTGTGTGTGTGTGTGTGATTGTTTGAGCACCTAAGGCATAGAGCCGTTGTAAACGTTTACAGATGGCACACCTGCGGGCAGTGCTGCTCTCTCATGTGTGCAGACATGACATCTGGTAGAGCCACAGGGACTCAGTGTGTGTGAATCTACGAGCGAGATGTTCCAAGTGACCTCAAGACACTCAGGTGTCCCACATGAGAAACAAAAGAGGGAGTCGCCGCAGATTCATTCAGAAAAAGCGAAAGCTCTCGTTTCGGCCTCCATCCTGTTGTCTGGACTTCTACAGATCTAGTCTTTCTGTATTATTCCTGCTATATCTGGGTTTGTCTTTGTGTCTGCCTATAATTGGCTATGCCCTCTTTTCAAAAACATAAAAGCCACCAGTGTTGGGCAGTAACGCATTACTTAGTAACGCGTTACTGTAATTTGATTACTTTTTTAGTAACAGAGTAATTTAATGCATTATAATTTTCAAAATAGTAATTAGAGTATAGTTACAAGCCGAGGTCTCATACGTTACTGCCGCGTTACATTGCTGACAGAATCCAGTGATTTCTAATCTAGAGATTGTAAAAAGGATGTAGCACACGCACTGTCGAGTCAAGTGCCAGTAGATTAGAGACCTGCTCTCCCGCGAGACCCGACGCAACAGTGCGGGACAAGACTTGATAGGCGAGTGCAGAGACTCGGCTGAAAGCCACAGATGTCTCAAACTCAGAGTCCTTGCTTTGGTCTTGAGTATATGTGGGTCACTCAACACAGATCGACTAACTGATGGCTCATAATGTTACAAAGCACGACTGAATTGATATTGACACAAGGTCAGTGCAATTACACAATGTGTCACCCTCTGTGATATGGGCTAAAATAGGTTTCCTTTTGCAATGCCTTGTAGCTCAGAAATGGGTTTTTAGAATAGAAGCATGTGTTCTTGCATGTATGAGTGTTTCTCACTGCTGGGTAAATGCTGAGAGCATTCAAGCTAGTTGAGTTAAGACAGCAGTGGCAATTACGGGAGATCAACACGCCTCCAAGATGGGAGCTGCACTGGCAGAAAAGGCAGAAACAGGCTCCACACACACACAAACACACTGCTCAAACTTCGATCCCAGCCACCCATTAACAGTGCATGCAGACAAACAATGCCAGACTCATTTTAAATCCCTCTGTTCCAAAGGTTTCCCAAAACATTTTACTTTAAATGTTGAATGCTGAGAATGCATTAAAAATGTCAAATTTTCACTAGCTGTCTCAGACTTTTGAACTCAAACTAGATGTTTTAATGAGGTGAAAGCTTAATTTAGATTTTTTTTTCTTTCTCTGCCATATTTAAATTCCCGATGGAGCATGGAGTTCCCTTGCCAGTTAGTGTAGAGGTAATTAAGAAAGCTTTTTTCCAAGAGAGGACGAGTCTCTCATGAACACCACTGTCACCGATCAGCTCTGCTGCACTGATCACTTCCATACTGCAGTTAAATACTACAATAAGCTCTCTTTCAATGATTTAAATTAAGTTGAAGTTGAACTAAAATTACTAAAACAGAAATAGAAATGAAACAGCTAAACAGAAATATTAAAATATATATATATAAAAATGGCGAATGCATAAACTAAAATTAACGTAAAAACAGAAACA